CACACGCCTGACAGAAATCCAGAACTGTTTCTTAGTGAGACCAACCTGTACAGTTGTATCCATCGCCTTGGTAACCAGACTTGCAGGTACAAACGGGGAATCCGCTACCAACCTGGCAAAACGCGTTAAGACTGCATGATGGAGAACAGCCGGGTAAAACAGCTGAAAAAGACGGATTGTTACCTAAGTCAAAGTGAAAAAAGGTAAAAAAGGAAAATCGATGGACTTGTTACCTGTGCAATTTTTTCCATCACCCTTAAAGCCTTTGATACATCGGCAGGTATAGGATCCTTCAGTGTTTGTACACATGGCGTTTGGATCACACTCATTTGATTCAGAACGTGCGCACTCATCGATTTCTGCGATCAAGAAAGAAACAAAGCTCGTTTCAGTTATACGGATGACCAGATAAGTCCTTACAGCTGTCGAGATTCACGGCCAGAGATACTAAAATACGAAAGCAGCGAGTTACATAAAGATAAAATAATGATAAGCTAAAATGGACGAAGGGCTAACGCTCGAAACGTCAGCTTTTGGAATCTTTACGGTGGCCAATTTACCACTTCAACTTTGTTGATATATCCAAATTAAAATGGATGGTGATGCAGTTAATTCTTAATCAAAGGTCCTACACTGCTTTCAGGACTTCTACATTTCACATTCATGCCTTTGAGGACCTCTACCTGCAGAGACGTTCCCATCACCATTGAAACCTCTGAGGTTACAAAGGTTCAACGAAAATTTTTAAAAACCGAGTAGAGAGTCTATAGCAAATCAGAGAGCCACCAGACGTGATGTATATAGACCACTTTCATAAATGGCTGCCGGATTAATATTCTTTTGTTTAAATTTAAATTAGCCCTTCTGGCCTCGCTTGAGATAATGTATTCTTTTGAATTTTGTACTGGAGAACGAGGCCAGAAGGGCTAGTTTAAATTCAGACAAAAGAATATTAATCCGGCAGCCATTTATGAAAGTGGTCTATTGGGCTCTGCAATAATAATAATATTAACAGACTTTTCTCAGCAAGTCGTTGATAAACGTTGGCTGTTGTTGAGTCACTCTGTGTTATATAATTCGAACAAGATACAACTCACACAACTAACACTTCTACCTGTGCAGTTTCTTCCGTCGCCGCTGTACCCTCTTAAACAGCGACAGACATATGAGCCTTCAGTGTTGGTACACATAGAGTCGGAGTGACAATCGTGTCTTTCAGGACTTAAACATTCATCGGCGTCGTTAGGTTATTAATCAGAGGAAACAGGATTTCAATTCTCTGATTGACTCGCAAAAAAAAAAAAACATTTCATAATCTCTTAGGTTGAATTTAAGGTGAGCGAATGTCCTTACCGGCACAAAAGCGGCCATCCCCTTGGTAACCCCTGAGGCAGCGGCAGATATAGTATCCTTCAATGTTGGTGCACAAAGCATTGCGATTACACTCGTTTGTATCTGGACTCGCACATTCGTTGAAATCTGTGAATGTAAAAGAAAACAAAGATTTAGATAAATATGGAAACTAACAGATAACAAAAGGATTATTTTCTTACACGAACCTGTGCAGTTGTATCCGTCGCCTTGAAAACCAGGATCGCACACACACACCCCTTCCTGGCAGAACGAGTTTAGACCACACGGTGGAGAGCAAATCGGTGTAACAGCTGCAAATGTTCAATTTCAGTTCAATTTGAGTGTACAAATCGACTTCTCGGCGAAGGCATTTTATTTTCAGTATTGGCAGCAATTTAGATACACACCTACACAGCTTAGGCCATCTCCTTCAAACCCGCTTAGACAGCGACAAACGTAAGATCCCTCCGTGTTGGTGCAAAGGGCGTTGCGGTGACACTCATTGTTGCCTTCGTCTGTACATTCGTTAACATCTAACGTGAACGAAAAATAGGTTTGTTTTATAATATGGAAAGAAGGAAGGATTGGATGAAGATAAAAAAGGTAGAGAGGCTACTCAAGCAATGGCTGAAATTTGTCGCGCTGTCTACAAAGTTCAACTGCTTTAGGTTTTTCTTTTAATTTACTGTAACGTTACTCATGAGAGTTAGCATTAGTCAATCAGACTTTCTTAGTCCGGTACAAGGAAAGCTTAAAAAGCCACCGTATGGGGATTATTGTACATAAGCACGACCTGTAGTGTAGATACCTGTGCAGTTGTCTTCCCCACTAAATCCATCAGCACACACGCAGTCTGGAATTCCGGTAAAATTTTGACACACTTCGTTTCCGGTACAAGGAGGCTCGCAAAATACTCCCTCTGTCGCTAAGGAAAATAGCTAAAAATCTTGTTACCGGTTATTGGTACTGAATCTAATCAGTATACTTCACATATGATCAAATAAATTGACTTGCGGCACAAACGCCAGAATCTCACTTTCTGGTTCAGGTTAGACAAGGATTAAGCAATGATCTCAGCTTTTCAAAGTATTTAGATAGGAGGAGCACTTAGGCAATAAGTTCTAACCCATATATTATAACTAAAATAGCTGAGCAACAGCTAGGGAGCCGTGGTAAAAGTGAAGAAAGAACTGATATCCATCTGTTCAATTTGAGAACAATTACCGAGGAACTTACGTCTGCAAGATTTCCCGTCTCCTGAAAATCCTTTTAGACAGCGACAAACGTAAGAGCCATCTGTGTTGGTGCAAACCGCATTCAGGTCGCAGCTGTTCCTATCCGAACTTGCACATTCGTCTGTATCTGTGGTTAACGATGGAGACGATGCAAATTTGTCAAAAAATTATTTCTTTGCAAGGGCCCTTAAAAACTAATTGTAATCACGGATTTTCACCTGTACAAGCTCTGCCATCTCCTTCATAACCTTTGAGACAGCGGCAAATGTAGGATCCATCAGTATTTGTGCATAAGGCGTTGGAGTCACACTCGTTACCACCAGGGAGATAACATTCGTCAATGTCTATCGTGTGAAAGAAAGAGCGGTATTGGATCATTTGACCTTCTTCTTCTCAAACTAGTGAACTCCGAATGCAAAGAGATGATCACTGACCTGTACATTTGACACCATCGCCATCAAACCCCACCTTGCACATGCAGCTAGGAGTTCCTGTGAAGTTCTTGCAATTAGCATTGACGTCACACATGGGATTGCAAATGAACGGAGGCTCTGTTGCTGTCAAAGAAAAATAGTTTAGACTACTCATTTACGGCGGTAGGCAGCCTGAGATCAAAGCACTATTAAGTTATCCTGGTTTACTTACGCGTGCAGGTCAGTCCGTCGCCTTTGAATCCTTTCTTGCAGCGACAGACATAAGAGCCCTCGGTATTGGTGCACATCGCATTTGCGTTGCATTTATTGGCACCAGGTGAACTGCATTCGTCGATATCTGACATATAATCAACAATAGGAATAAAGAAATCAAATAATAAAAGGGATCCAAGAAATGCTCTTATCGTCTACTGTTTCCACGTTTTACGCGGAGCGAAAGGAATACCAGAGAAGCCTTTTTAGCAACAAGCATTAAGGTCTCCTAAAAGTGACAAGCATTAAGACTCCCAACACAAAACACACACGTAAAACAGGCCGAACCTGTGCAGTTGTTTCCGGACTTTTGATATCCCACCTGACACTGGCAAGTAAAGCTTCCGTTGGAGTTCAGACATTCAGCCGCCTGCCCACAGTTGACTGAACCGACGGAGCACTCGTCAATATCTGAAGCAAAATTTAAATGATACGAAAACCGTCACATCAGCTGTAAAGCATAATTTTACTGATGGAAGAACTCACCCTTGCATTGTCTTCCATCTCCTTCGTATCCTCTTTTGCAGCGGCACACATACGAACCATCTATATTTGTACAAAGCGCGTTGACATCACAGTTGTGGGACTCCGGTGTTTGACATTCGTCGATATCTTTCGAAAAGTCAAACAATACAAAGGAATTTAAAAATCTCATTTGCGCAAATGGAAATGTAGACAGATGAGACAAGATCTAACGCACTTCAGTGGCATTGATCCCCTGAGAATTACCCAAACTTTGGCAGGGATTAAATGCTTTCCATCGCAGCTATATGAGGGAATGTAGTTGCTAAGGATTTCGTCGTTTAAGCAGCATTTTCCAGCTTTGCCTTTTCACTTCAAAGAATTTAAGTAAGGAATATCAGTAAGAGAGTTATACACACCAGTACAATTCCTGCCATCTCCAGAAAAACCCAAGCTGCACTGGCACTTGTAAGATCCTACGGTGTTGACACACACGGCTCCGGGGAGACATTCAAAACTGCCCTCTGTACACTCGTTTACATCTAAACGAAATCAATCTCTCTGTTAGCTTTTTGCCCGCTAATTAAAGGCTAATGAGATTGGAGTAGTAAAAGCTGGAAGTTATTTAGTTAGGCTTGCTAATACCTTGCAGCCGGTTAGCCCTAGTAGCACTGGAGACCTAAAAACTTTTCACATCCAAATTGTCTCACATTTCTGATAGTTTTATCTCTGTGAATTTTGAATTAAATCAAATAATACCATTATGTTTACATTTTGCTCAGGCATTTTTTTAACAATTATTGAAAGAGAAAATACCTTTTTGGTCTTCTCTGGTAAAGAATGGGTTAAACGATCTTAATCAATCATCTATTGTCCTGCTTTGCGGGAAATAAGCAGCCTGGTTTGAGTATATTTTAAAAGAACGCCCATTTCTGGCGGCCAGTTCAAGTGCTCAAGTCGAGAGGTTACCTGTGCAGTTTAGGCCGTCACCAGTGAAGCCTCTGTTACACGAGCAGATGAAAGAACCGTCAGTATTATTGCATCCGGCGTTGGAATCGCAGACACTCGTTCCAGGTAAGTTACATTCGTCAATATCTACAAATCAAACAAATTCGTCTTCAGTGAGTCAATCATTCATGTAAAAAAACAAACACAATCAGTCGACTAGGAGGTCGGCAACGAATCAGTAATTTAGTGCATCAGTCAGCGAACGAGTCAGCCGTCAGTCTCCAGTCAGTAGACCAGTGGTCAGTCAGTCGACCAGCCGGCTAGCTTACCAGACAAAACAGTGTGTCTTTCAATCACTCAGTGAGGTTTACATATCATGAGCAGTACCTTCGCAAGTGGTTCCATTCCCAACATATCCATTGCTACATTCGCAGTAGAAAGATCCCTCTGTATTTACACACCTGGCGTTTGCCGTACAATTTCCAAGCTCTGTCAAACATTCGTCTTGATCTACAAAGAAGAGTGTAAAGTCCGCAACAATCTGGCAAAGTGAAAGCAACTTCCAGAATTCTTCAAAATCCTTCTGGATCAAATCGGCATAGGATTAGCACAATAAAAAACATATTTGTTATTCAAGAGTCCTAGGAATATATAGTAAGTAAAAAAGGAACAGTAAGTGAATGGATATGCAATTGCATAATCAAATATATACAGCCGAATTTTTTGAAGAGACCAGCTTAACTGCAGGCGAGGATGACCGCTTAAGGGAAGAGGTCGCTGAAAGTGAATCCATGCAGTTCTCATCGACGACGAAAACTGCATGGGTCCACTTATTATCACTGTTCATTGCCATAAAAAGATAGATACATAGAATAAGACAAAGGAAAACAGTTTCTTGTAAAGAAAGTATTATAAATTAAGCAGTATAACGTAAAGCACGAGTCAATCAAGTATTCTTCGTTTTCGATAAAGTTCATCTGAACAAACTTGCAACTCATTCATGAAATTCAGAATGGTCGTATGCTTTAAATTCATGAAGTGAGTAGTTGACAGTAAGGAACATCAGTGGTTTTCTAGAACGCTGAGGACAACTCTATGTAATCTTGTAGGTATTAGCTTATTGCTGACGAAAGAAAAGCACCTTTCTGGCCACGTAAGTGGTAGCGGTTGCACTCGAACTTTGAGCATTGGTCGCCTAGGAGGGATGTTTTTAACATCAGTGACTTAGAAACACAACGTTCGTTCACAAAATGGTCGCCCGCTGAAAGTGGTCGCTCAAAAGAATTTCGAAGTACAAGTTACATGCAGTTCTTGAGTTTACGCGATTCGACGTACCAGTAATTATCAATACATCAAAACATTTTTTAATGACATCTTCCCAAGAACTACTTTTAGACCGGCGAAGAAAGGAGTTATAAAGTCCACCTTACGTCCACTAAATTCTACTGCTAAATAAACATCAAAGCTTAAATAGGAGGTTAACCACTTCTACCTCCGATGTCAGGAAATCCCCGCGTGTGAGGCTTGGCTGCACGTGATATCTTCACCATTTAACACCCGTGATCTGATAAGCAATTCCTTCCCTCAACTGCTTGATAACGTTTTGGTTGATAGATTTGTATATACTCATAAGTTTTTTATGGGAAAAGGATAAAATGTTAGTCCAAAACTTACGGAATTAATAGGTTTACATGTATCTACAGTCTTTTCTTTCTGGACCACATCGTTAAGGAAAACAAGCGAATTCATGCAGGCTTTCAAATGAACTTTAAATCTAAGGATTAACTAAACAATAATTGTCAGCTTATGCGGCTTGTGGCGAAGCTCCGAGTGCCAAGAAGTGTCGTCAAATCTCGGGAAGTTAATGTCACCTTTGTTTTGTCTATTCCTTTGTTCAAAACAACTCCAAATCACCGGACGGATATAAGTTCTCTGATTATGTCGATGCAATAAATCAATATATCAAAGCAGGAATGAAAGATTCTAGGGAGAGTTATAATCATAAAGTCGTCAAAATATACAGGAAAATTAGTGATCTTTATCACACGTAAAAATACAGAGATAGCACCAGTCCCAATAAAATATTTCCACCCTTAACACTATGATAAGGTCACAGTGAATGCTTATTTTTGGGTGACATAAATGGTAACTTTAGGCTTGTGCAAGCATATCAGAGTTGTGGTCGCGAGCAATTTCAAGTATGCCTTGATCGATATATTTAGATCACTTTATCGTGCATTGTTCGCGATTTAGGACCTCCGAACATAGGGTCAAAAACTGCTGTCACCAAGAATTTGTCGATTTTGATACAAATTAGAGTGTTAACTAGTTTTCGAGGTCTTGACGAGATCCAATGGTAATTTTCGTCTCTCCAAGAAGCGAACAGAACTAGAAAGTTCTTCCTATCACATTCCACATGAAAAAGACATTTTACAAGCCTTCAATGCTTGTAATGTGATTTGTGCATAGATTATGGAAAGCAGATTTAGTTTCTTAGATTTCACCTCCTGTTTTCACATTTTTGTTCTCTATCACCATCTGTTTTAACTAAACCCAAACAAAAACGATAAAAACTGCAGAGATAACGCTGAAACGAGGGCAAAAAGAGTCGAGCGGTAGTAAAGGGCTCTCCTCTATTCTTATCTTCGCTGGCTGCTTGACGTTTTCACGTTTTTTCCTTTTTTTACAAAATTCATTTAGAAAGGTGAAAGGCCGGTCAACAGCAACTTCTGTGGCTTGGTGGATTGTCACTTCCATCGATTATGAACACAGGGGTTGAGAAGAAAAATGAAAGAGAAGAAAACATTTAAAGGAGGACAGAAGGAAAGAAGGAGAGAAAAAAAGAAAGAGATGGGATTTTTCTTGAGAAAATACACCTGATTCAGATTTTGGAGGAGAAAATTTGTACCGTTGTCCTTGTGAAAGTTTTCCTCCAAATCCAAGCCGAGTCCCTAGAGCGATATAGTTCTAATTCCATAACTAAAGTTATAGGTAAAAGAGACAGCAAAATGCATCCGAGACCCAATCATCTATCCTCAGAGAAGGATCGCTGAATGTTCCAAAAACAGCTTTTAGGGTTATGTTCACAGCCATAACCCATGCTTCTAAAGACTGTCATGACAAGCGCTTGTGCAAAGCGTGAATTCTTCTGAAAACGATACACATTGCTCCATGCAGAGTTCTTATGTTCACGTTAGCAGTTGTCACAATGAATTTTCATGCAGCCGCGGCACCATGTTTGTATACCTCGGCATGTTTTCCAACTCCATAATACCCTTCCTTACAGATACATGAAAGCGTGACAATCCAACGGCCCAATCGACCTTTGACCTGCGCACTCGTCTACATCTGAGGATAAGAAGAAATAGAAGATAAATGACTTTATTTACTCTGTTTATAAGCAGATGGAAGGTATTAAGTAGTGATGCACAAGATACCGACTGACATATAGACGTCTCACAATATCGGATAGACCAAAATATCTCCGTAATCTGTGTATCGCACACGAGGACTCCAAAAGGTCAGTGTTGTTGACAAGCTGACGAACACGCACACTAAAAATTTGTCGACATAACAGATTTGTTGAAATAAGATAATTATTTCCTCATGGGCACAATCAGTTCGAATTATTTCGTTCAATTGCTTTCCATGAACTTTGTCAGTAGAAGACCTTCGATTGGCCATTAAAATTGCAAACTGTACCAGTTTAAAGAACATGTTACAGGGCACTTTGTCTCGTGATAGGAGAAATAAACAAACGCTTATCCCAAAACTTAAGTAATAATTCCTGGGCCACAGTTTGCTGTATTGAGATCATCAACGTTTCAGTTGATCTACATCTAAGAACTGAAACAGACCTGTATCGATGGCACCTAAGACTCGGTAACGCGCTTGATTTCGTCCAAGCTATGTAAAGTTAGTTGCATCCATTTTTATCTTAAACGTAATAAGAAAATTTGAGAAAAAATAAAGGAAGCCACTCTTATCGCCGTCTGTTTAGCCTAACCTTTTCAGGCACTACTCTGTCTGGGAGAAAAGGTCATTTTGATACCACGCAAGAGTTGCTCATACAAAAACCAAAGGACGGGTGTCACTGAACTGAAATGATGAGAGCTTCTTCGCTTCTTTTTGTTCATTTTTTTCTCCTTCTAGATACGTTTACTGATCAGCGCCTCAAAAAATCTAGAAAAAATTTAGAAAAACTTGTTCTTTTACGACATCAAGCACTATTCTATGGGCGTTACTTTAAACGTATGCGCCAAGTGAGAAGTTACTCCACCAGGCCAGAGGGCACACAGAAATCACTAAAAGAGAACGAACTTTTGCTAGTAAGGGCAAAGGAGAAACGCTGTAATAAATGGTCTCACATCATCGGAGTAAGACAATTATTACAGCCCCGAATCGTACGTTACATCCACTATTAAATATAGAGCAGGTTTCTAGTTTGTTTCGTTAGTTCTAACCTTCGCAGTACTTTCCACTTTCAGCAAATCCTTCTTTACAGTGACAACAAAAGCTCCCTGATACATTGACGCAGGATGAGTTGCAGTGGCAATCGTTGGATCCATTCTCGCATTTATCAATGTCTGCAAAACACAGAGGAGAACGTAACCTACAAAAAAACATTGCATGACCAGAGATGTCATTTACGCATACAATGTAAGAAGTTTTTCGAGAGAAGCTTAACTACATTATTGTTTTCTTCAACATTCTGCATACCAGTACCTTCAAATTCTTGCATATAGGCACAACCAATTACCCTCTCCTTCAGCATACACTTTCCACTTAGAGAGCAATCCTGGGAGCCATTAGAGCACGTGTTTCTATTCTGAGCTGCACAATAAACCGACTTGGTATGTGGAGGTCATTCAGGAACACCGTAAGTATTTGTTGAAACAGTTATAGGCGGAGTCTCGAACTTTTCTATTGATCAAGTCCCCAATTCCTTTGTCGCTTCAGAAGTAGTTGCTATTTCCGTGCCTCGTGCTGTTGTTACAAAATCTGTGAAATCTGCCTGTAGCTCATCTTATTTTTGTTCGTAAATTAAAGTTGAAACAACTGTTAGTATTTCACTAGTCATTTCTTCGATGAGCTGTCAGGAAATTTGTTCGTGCTTTCAGAGACAACAGTGGTTGCTTTTCCAAAATGTCAGCTGCCATAAATTGCAGGAGACACCAATAGATATAAATATTTAAAGAAAATAAAATATCGTAAAGGTGAAAAACAACAAGAGCAAGCATCAATGTGAAGATAACATGGTAAAATAGTAGTAGAGCAATAAAAGTAGAGAAGAGGGTAAAGAGTTTGCATTAGAGCATGGTTGAATAAGAACGCGTGAGTCACCGCTGACCGGCCCTTTTTAAAGACGTTGTGAACTCTCCAAAAAAAAATTGTCCTCATTTCGAAAGTTGCCGAGACTTTAAAAGTCAGACTATTGTCGTTTAAAGGAAATTCAAAATAACCTAACTTGTTTGCACTTTTCAAATATGGTCTAAATCTTGTCGTAGATGAAATGTGGAACGTCCGAGAAATTGTGACAAAATGCAACGAAAACATCGATAAATAGGATATGGTGTGGTCGGACCCTCTTCACGAACTTATTGACATTCTTTTGACACGAACATCATTGATTAGGCTACGTTAAGAGCTATTTTTCTCGTGGAGTGTTGGATACATTGAAGACAGCCTGAATAAAATAATGACTTAGTACAATTCTGGCTTGTTTTTCGGGACTAAAATAACCCGACTGTCCAGTGTAAAGCAGCCAAGAATGGGTTTGACAAGATACGATAACGATCGCAGTTCAACAGTAGCCCTCCGAAATGCTGATTACGCTTCGTATGTGTAGCACATGTACAGATATAACAGATTGTGACGTTGGATGGTCAAACCTTTCAATAACCATTCAAGGGAAAAACTAACTTTGAACCCACGATTCCATTTTGCAACTGAAATGAAATATATATCGGATATCTGACATTGCTCATAACTCTGAGAGACACTGAAGCTTTTAGTTCAAATGTTGATTGCCGGAAGAAAAACCGATCAGTCTTTTTGTATTGTTTTGTTTTTTACATTAACATTTTCATATTTTCTCAATTTTCTTTTTCTTCAACATTATTATGCGAGCTCTTGAGGGAAACAGAGTCATGTAACTCTGGAGTATGAGAAATACTTTTTTGTCTCTTTCTAGTTCGAAATTCGACGAATCGAGCATCTCTCCGCATACACATGCACATCAACTTGAAAAGGTGGGTCAACGGCCGAACATAGTATTTCAGCTCTATAAATTTGTTTGTGCTAACTGTAGAACCCCAGAAGCGTCAGTGTAACTTTCAGTAGCTTTATAGCCCCACACATTAAACCACTGCATATTTCTACTGATCGTAGGTATCGGCACATCACCATCTTTTTTTTTTTGCTCAGATGATACTTTAAAAAAACGATACATTTCGCCTTTTCGATTAATTTTTCTACTCTCACATCAACTGTACTGCTGGAATCATTCATGAACAAAACTCATGAACAAATCCGCTTTTCCATCAAAGGCAAGGAGTAGTGGTAAATACTACGTGCCCTTGATTTATTTTAGCCAATACAATCTCTGAAGTACCCTCAGAGATCGAGGTCTCTGAACAGTTAGTAAATACCAACAACATTACAGTGAAAAGAGGCTATTATAAAGCCGGTTCAATGTTCCTCAATATTTTGTCTCTGGGAGCATGTGTTCTATGTTCCAAGTGTTGATTACAAACAAATAACATTATCTTAACGATAGGAGAACAATAAAAAGTTATCCTCACACGTACTCTAACAGAACAGAATATGGAATGAAGAGCATTTCTCATTCCATGCAGCATTTGCAAACGTACACGTAGATGTATGTTTTACGTGTCACGAAAGAAATGTGGCTCCAGTTATTCGATGGTGGGATAACGCTACCCAGTGGATAAATCTCTTAGTCCGGTGAATAGATAGTAATTCTTGTTATTACACGACTCGGGCAGTCAGAGCCAATAACTAAATAACTCGGCCAATAACTAAAATCAACCAATCAAAATGCTCTATTGCCGGTCCAATATTCTCCAAGTATTGGACCGGACACTGTCCCGAATGGTCCCGAATGGTCCCGAATGATACCGCACTTGTATCCCTTTGAACTTCAGTCGTATAATAAATCTCTTATTAACCAAGCTTGCTCGGGACCGTATTGGAAGAATATCGGCCCTCGGTCTTTTTTGTACAGCGCTCGGTCCTTGCTGTCAAGACCTCGGGCCGATATTCTCTCAGTACGGCCCTCGCGCTTGGTTAATAAGATATATGCAACACTTATCAGCTGGATTGTGATCTTTTCGTTGGTAGCTAGCGTTATCCGCCCTTTGAAAAACTGAGCCCTGAACTTTCATCTACGCTAAAGCTGATGCCGTAGTGATCTCACCTCTCTCGCAGATGAACGACTGTCTTTCTTCACAACCTCTTACTTCCCACGAGTAGAAAATGTCTTCAGAAAGCAGAGTTACACAATCTCTGCCCGTCACTGAAGCATCTTTGGGCTCCCGATTAGCCCAGTTTGTAAACTCAGATTTGCTGCCATCACTCCAAACAAATTCACCCTGGTTCCGCTTAAGACCTATCCAGACTCGAGCTTCTGGTCTGGCAACTTCTACGGCTATGAATTCGTTTTCTGTGACGCTCTTGGATAAAGCCAAGTGCGAGTCCATTTCACGACAAGTCTCGTTTGCTTCTTGCCAAGTCTTGCCGTTAACATAGGGTAAATAACAAGATCCACTGAATCCTATCCACCCTTGTGGACATGATCCTGAAAAGACGACAAAAAAGAAAAGAAACCATAATAATTTAGTCAGCACATTGGGTCCAACTTTTTCAACTTTAACAGGATATTGACATCACGAAGCATATAACTTGAACTTTTGAAAGAAGAAACTTTAATTAATAGATATTCCTGGGATTGGTTGAGCTAAATGGTACACAAGTTCTTTCTGCGGACAAAATTTATTTTGACCTCTAATCAATTCCAGTGTCAAACAGTTATACCTACTAAAACCTTACTATTAGTACGGTTGTCCCGTTGAAAAGCCGTTACGACTCGCTCCAAATATTAAAAGTTTTTAACTGGCTTTTCGTCGCTGCTATATCCCTTCCATTTCAAAGTTCTCTTTCAGATCAGAATCTACTCAGAAGCTACGCCTCAAGCTGCTTTGGTGTCTTAAAAGTTAGACAACTTTAAAATATGCTCTATAACCTGGGATATCGAAGAATTCGTCAAGCTGCCTTGCTTTCCTCCAAGCTGTGGTCCGCCCTGAAAGAAGAGAATATGCATCAGAAATAAAGTCTCCGCAAAGATAGACATTCCTTTTTTCGAAAAATGGCTGAGGCGCGTAAGTATCTTATCTTTTACTCTAATTTGGGTAATTAAAATATCATGCATCGAGTAAGAAAAAGTTGTGCCTGGTTTCTTCCCCTGCAAAAGGCTATCTCATTCTTATACGATTAAAGTCACACAATCGCTAATCGGTCAAGACCCGCCTCTAGTAAGGTCACACCAGTTCGTCGTCGCACCCATATTAAAGCCTTAATTTTTCAAATTGCATCAAGTAAAAGACAATTTTGATAAGACAGTTGCTATGGTGAAGTATCCGGCGGTGATCGAGTGCCAAAGAAATCTATATCTGCTTATCGGTTATCTCAATCTGGCTTAGTCTTTGCATGAATATAATAAGTCTTTATCATGTATTTTTGTTAGCGTTATCTGGATAATCAAAGCTAACATAAATGAGGGTCTCAAGGGGTTGAGCGTGTGGCGTGAAACGTCCAAAGAAATAACCGTTTGTCATGAATTATTTTTGTCCAGATAACCGTGTTGTTTGTAGCTTTTCCTAAGTTCTGAACAATTATTTGATGTATGTTGTCTTCTTGGTATTTTTTTTGATATTTTTTTCTTTTTTTGCACCGTGAAATCGCGAAAATTTTAACCATGTAGAGTATTTGCTACACCCCCATTGAGACCCTCATAAATGCGGCGCGGTATTTGTAAGATTTTACCATCAAATTACCGCACCACAATACCTTACACAAGTCTGCTAGAAACGATAAGGAACGACGTTTTAACACTGCAAAGGCTGTAGTAGTGGTAATTTGATGGTATTCATATGCGTAGATCGTACCGGTTACCAAATAAAACAAAGGATAAAAAAAGACCATTTCATAAAAATTCAGAAGTAGCTGTCAGCTATAAGAAATCAGCTGAAACAATATGAGTCAAAGATTAAATTCGGTCGCTGCGACATGTTCAAATTAGTTAATCAGTATACAAAACGTAAGGGAAAAAAAACCATCGTTTACATATCTTTGGTCACAGATAATTTGGATGATAATGACTATCCGAAGACACAAAAGATATTTTACAGAATGGTGACCGTCAAAAGTTTTGTCCTCCGTTATTTCCTAAAACAACTTCGGAAAACAATTAAATTAATTAAAACAGGAGACGGTGTGAAGATGCAGGAAACATTTGAAAAAAGCAAGGAACTTAGTTTTATCTTTCTTTCCGAAAAATTAACACGAAATTCACCCAAACATTCCAATAGAGTGACTTCATCCCCTACACTTAGCCTTTCGAGAACGTTCTTTTTTGGTGATCCTAGCCATTACTTGATAGCTCTTTGACATTCCTTGAAATCTTCCTTTTACTCTTTTTTTTCCTTCTTTCTCCACGATGATCAAGACATAATTTTCAGTACTATTACCATGCTGCCCTCTGCAGCATTTCATTCAGCATCGTTTCCACAAATTTACGATTATTTTTTGCTTTTTATTACACAACCTGTAATCCGTACTTGACGTAAAGTCGTACTAAGTTCATTTTGTTTTTTTTAACCTTTCGAAAAATCATCATCTACTTAACACGTAACTCAAATTTCTACCGATTGCAAGTAGTCAGAGGGGTTACGTGACTGAAACAAAAAAAAGACGCAACTAAGAAAAGATCAATCATCAGCTCAGGATTAATTATTTAAAGTCTCTTCGTCTTTCCTCTGTCTGGAAGGCGAGGATAAACCCCACAGGGATAAACCCCACTGGGAGTTGAAAAGGTCTCGAGAACTCTAGCAAATGTAGAGTGTGTTGGAGCTAAAAGGCGTGCGATAAATTGATGTATAAATCCTGATGTTGGTGTGATACCTCTCAAGGTTTTACCGACTCTAATAAATGTAGATGTAGATGTTTCAATCCTTATTTCATGGCGCTAGCCCGGGTCAAGAACTCAGTTTAGCTGTTTATTTACACTCTCACTTATCTCTGTCGCCATAACAAATTAATTAAAACCTTATGTTGTTCGTTCAATAACCGTTTTCATTTTTTCAGCCTTTGTTGCAGTTTCAGAAACAAAGCGGACAAAAAAGATAACAAATTAATTCATGTCTGCTTCTTAGTCCGTCTGTAAAACCACACTGTCTTGCTGCTTGGTTTTAAGAGATCCCACGAGGTTTGACACAGCTTGCTTGACCACAGGCAGCCCAAGCTCTCTTTGGCTTGACATACACAGCTTGCTTGACATAAAAAGACCACTTATAATCCAATACAAATTATGTCTTCAAGCAAGAAATTTCATCGTCAAAATGTCTTTGATAATCGCGACAAACAAAGTTTTTTAAACAGAAAGACGCCAAAGAATTAGCGGCAAATCTAAGAGGTCGCCTAAAAATGATACCCCTCTTATTATTTATCATAACATCCCTGCATGCTTTTTTGGTGTAACTGTTAAAGTCCCAGAATGAAAGCTTTCAAATCGTGCTGCAAAGTTGTTTTGAGAAATATGTGCCAGGAAACGGCGGGTAGCGCGGTTCTTAGGCGCTTTAAATTACGAAACAGATGTATAACCGCAGAATGCTAATAACGGGCATCCGGCTACACGTTGAAGATTCCTACGAGAACTACCATTTTTGTCTCAAATTGTTTTATTTTGCAGAATATATGTTCACTCTTGACATATCACACGTCATTAAAAAGGAAATTGAAGTTGAACAACATTGCGAATGGAATTAAGTTGATTACGTCCTTTCCAAAATTTGTTTTTGAAAGTTGCTGATGAAATTCTTCACTGAAAACCCTATTTTTCCTGAAAAAAAATTTTAAAATTGAACCTCTACGGCGTAGCACTGAGATGATTAAACCAATGTCCAAAAGATATCGCACGATAACGAAGCGACTGATTTGCAGCAGTGATATCAGTTGGCAAAACCCAGCGCAATCCCGAAAATATCAATGACGCCGGGAG